TGTGCTTGTTGTGTGGTGTGTGTGTTTGCGTCGTGCTGCTGCGGGTGGCGTGCGTAGTGTTGGTGTTGTTTTGCGGTTGTGCGTGTCGCGCGTGTGTGTTGGTGTGTTTTGGTTGCGTGTGTTTGGTACGATCTGTGATAGAAGTGGTGGACTGACGTGTTGACGTGGGTAGGGTGTCTGTAGAGATTAAGCTTTATGAGCTCAAAGTAAGTTTAAAGTAAGGTTATATGTAGCTTAAGATGCGTGTAATCTGCGTATGCTTGTGTTGTGTGTTTGTGTTTGTGCCGTGTGTGTGTTTTGTGGTTTGGGGATGAGCGAGAGTTGTTGGCAGAGTGGTGATGAAGTGATCCGAGAGGTTGACTCGAGCCAGACTGTTGAGTGATTGATTGTGTAGAGTCTTAATGGTGTTAGCGTGATAAGACAAGTACCTGATGAGTGTCGCCTGCTAAGTGTGGACGTTTTGAAGATTTGGAAGCGATTGTTGCCTTGTGCTGCTTCTGATGAGTAAGTCCTAGATCCTCGTTAGTCTGGTTCAGCACTCATTAGAACTGTTCATGTGCAGTGTATTTCGATGTGTTAATGTGTGCAAAATAAGTATAGAATGATTGATTTTGCTAGTCATTCTATCAGTCGCGCGGATTAAAGTGCATCGTTTGTTCGAGTGTGCCTGTGCTCTGTTGCTTTTTGCGTTGTTAGAGTTTTGCTGTAATAGAATTATTTTTGTTTTAGTTGCCAAAGTGTGCGATTGTGATGTTGTTGTTTTTGTACAGCTGAGTGGTGCTGTTCTATTGCGAGGATTTTGAGTGAGCGTATTTGTGGGCTTTTGGGTATTGTGAGTTCCTCCGTTCTGGGTGTGTGGAGTCGTACCTTTGTGTTATAGTGAGATGATGTGTCTTGTGTTTGATGGTCAGAAGGTAGCCGAGGGTCGAATTAAAGTTGCTTGTATATTTAGTTGCGAATGAGTGGATTTATGTTTTGTTTGTGTTTTTGTGTACGATTGTTGTAGGATTTGTTTTGTGGCTTGTTACGATGATTGTTCTGATACGTAGTTGAGTGCTGTGTTGTGAACATCATGTAGTAGTTTGTTGTCAAGTCTTTGTGTTGATGTGTATATATTGCGATGTTATTAAGTGTGCGTCTGTTTATTATTTTTTTCGTTCTGGTAGTAATGCTAGATTTGTGCGCATGTGAAGATAGTCTCAGTGTTCGTCTCGTAAGGAGTAGTGTTTTGACGAGCGTTGTGAAAATTATGAATGAGAGTCTCTGTCGTGGCTCCGATAGTATTTGAGAGATATATAATGTATAGTTGGTGTGATGAAACATGAGTAGATTTTAGAGTTGCGACTAGTATGGTTGTCGTTCGAGTATTTGTGGCGCTGTTTAGTTTTCTAATGAGTTTTGAAGAGGGATGCTGCGATAGAATGAGTAATGAGTGGATAGTTTGTTTATATTGTTGTTTTTTGTTTGAACGTAATGTATTGTCTGGCTTTAGAACATATTTTGGCTTGTGTTATTGAGTCTGTCCGTTGTGTGTTGTTGTTTAGTGCTTGTGCGTGTCGTGTGTGAAGTCAAGCGTATGATGTAAAAGAGAGTATATTGTGTAAGGAATTTTTGCGCAGAAGAGAGCATTGAGCAGTAATGTGCCGCAAGATAGTGGATATCATTAGTAGTAATATGTGCTATGTGTATAGAAAGGTGGTTGGTAATGAGATGTATAATCAACAAAGAGAGCGATTGGCCGTAAGCAGAGTGTGTAAGATCTTGAATTTGCGTGAATTGTAGCGCTGTGTCTTGTATTGAGTGTTTACCGTATTTCAAGATGTGTGAAAGTTTATACGACATTTGTTTGCTAGTTATTGTGTGGTTATTTTTTTGAATATTGATGCTTCGAGCGATGTTTGAGCTGCTCTGGCCAGTACTTAGCCGATAATGTTCTGATGCTGTCTAAAGTTGAAGTATGTCTTTTAGTTGTCTTGTGCTGACAAAGATAGCGATGTGTGTTCAAATCTGTTTACATATGGCGATGAGAGGAGCGATGTTGAATTGTAAGAGCATCTTGATGTCTTCGCGACACACTTTCACGAAGCTATGCCTGTGTAGTCTGTTGTCGCGTCCAATATGATGGATGATTTTTTGTATGCTTATGTAGAGCAGATGTTAGTGTCATAGTATATACTTACGTGCATCCTTTGTGTGCCGGTGCGAATTGCTGTAGTGTTTGTTGTTGTGATGCATTAGACATAAGCGAAAGAGAATTAGTGCTTTGTATTTTGTGAGATATGTAGATGTGTCTTTTGTAGACCCGTCTGATGCGCATTTAGTTGGTCTTCCTGATAGTAAGACTGTGCGAGAGTGGTAGCCGCGTAGTAGAGGGCGTTAACGAGAGCATTATTGTTGTGACTCGTTTTGGATGTGGTTGTTTGTGCATGTGTGTTGTGTTTTTGTGGTATTTGTGTTCGTGTTAAGAAATAGATAATTAGTTGGTATGAGAGTGTCGTTGCTTGTGTGATTGTTGCTTGATTATTTGGTATTGAAATTGAATCGATATTCAGGGATTGCGTAATTTTTGATTATTTGATGACCTATGTCTCTCCTTACTGCGTGTCAAGATGTTTTGGCTTCCACTGTTTAAAATGAGGTTGTATGAAGGGTTTGCTTGTTTCGTATTGTATGCCTGTTGATTGTAGAATTAACTGATATTGTATATTTGTATATAAGTTGTAATGACGATGGATATATGGTTGTTGCTAAATAAACTACGTCACTTGGAGATTTTATTAGGCAGCTAATATTGTTAATTTCATAGAACAATAGTTAGAGCTGCTGTGTATGTGGTCCTTCCGTTAAATGTAGCCCAATGAGTAATGGGAATACCGAGAATAGAAATGTTTGGAAATATCTAACAGTATTGCTAAAAATTTATTGTTATAGATCGTTTTCGTTTGTGGCCTGTTGTGTGTTTGTTGTCACTGTGTATTCAGTTTGTTGTCCTACACATTCTAGGGTTTGGCCACCATTGACTGTGTGCAGTGCTATTATGTGCGTGGTGTGTGTTGTGTGTGTGTGTGTTTGTGCGTGTGTGTGTGTGTGTTTGTGCGTGTGTGTGTGTTTGTTTGTGCGTGTGTGTGTGTTTGTTTGTGCGTGTGTGTGTGTGTTTGTTTGTGCGTGTGTGTGTGTGTTTGTGCGTGCGCGCGCGTGTGTGTGTGTTTGTGCGTGCGTGCTTGTGCGTGTGTGTGTGTTTTTGTGCGTGTGTGACACTGAGAAGGTGACTGACGGAGAGGGCGAGAATAACTGTAAGTAAAAAGTAAAGTAAGAGCAAGAGGAACTCGGTAGCGGGGAGAGCGAGAGTGGCAGATGGAGAGACCGAGAGTGACCAACCGACTGGTTGAGTGATTTATGTAGAGCTGAATGACTGAACGAGAATACCTGAGAGTGCGTCAATGACTGAGAGAGTGAGACTGATTGTGTTTGCCCGAAAGCCCTAACCTTTACTTTCAACAAGAACTTCATGTAATACATGGTAAGAAAAAAATTAAATTATTATCATCATTATCACCATAATCATTTCAGTTGTCTTCTTTTCTTATTTTGTGTAATAAATATTTGTGTGTACTTGTCAAATCATTGATGTGTTCTTTTACACAGTGCCTCGATGCAAGTAGACCATGGCTGTGTTATTGGATCCTCCATTCGTTGGAGCTCCTTGAAGAAACTTTGGATGCAGAGGACAGGTCAAAAATTGCTTTATTTATTGGAAGGTTAGTTTGTGTTTTGTACCATTTTGAGATTGTTTGTTGTTACAAGTAGTATGTGTTTGAACACAGTAGAGGTTTTTACTGTGTTTTATGAATATCATTTTAAAGGCTGTTTTTATTATTTTTCTTCTGGAGAATTCTAATTTTGCAGTGTGATATATTCTTCAGTCCTGAAAAGGTTTTTTGAACTTTGTGAAAATAAAGATTTTTGTCTTGCTCCAAGATTAAAGAAAAATATTGTTAAAACAATAATTTATGACATAGTTCTCGGAATGCTGTGTATTCTAGAGGTGACATTGGGACCAAAAGAGTAATGAATTTGTATTTTTTGTTAACTTATATTTCTGGCTTATAACAATGCTGTTACACTTGTTTCTTTTACCGATACAAATATAAAAGAAGAATAAATTTCAAAACATACAGTAAGGCAAAATGACAAAATATTATGAAAAAGTGTTGGTAAAAAATAACAACAAAGAACATGGAACAAGAAACATCGGAAGACTTTTTATATTTACTATTCAAATTGAAATTTAACACATTTTAGTATTTATTTTTGAATGCTCAGCATTACCCATACAGCCGAAATCATTTCAATGAAGACTTATCGACAAAACACAACTTACATATGGCAATACATGAATGAAAGCAATATTCTTCCACAATTTTCACAACTACCTGTACTTTCCGCCAAATAAGTTTACTAGAAGACAGTATTCAAAATACTTACTGGCATCTGTTGGCAACATATTGAGCCATATACAAACGAAAAGAAGTGCTTTATTGAAATGTAGAGGTGCTTTGAAGACCCTACTAGTTATGTCTCCTATAGAAGATGGCAGGACCGAGGAAGGCTGAACAGAATTATTGTTTACTTTGGAGAGGGTTGTTATTTGTTTGTGGTATTTTTTAAAAATAAAATATGAGAGAGGTTCTTGTATTTTGCATATTTATTGAAAATGATATTTCAGGATTTCTATTTTATATCTGAGTGACCTAGCCTCCTTACTCAAGAGTTTGTGCTTTCCCTTTTAATATGTTATGAACTGTGGCCTTCTATATTGATGTAATTAATAATTGTATTTAATAAGTTTGTAAGACATGATGTTTCTAAAACTTAGTCACTGCATGTATTAGACAATATTTTAATTTATAAACAAATTTAACGACTGTGTAGCCTTCGTTAAAAGGCCAATAGAATGACCTAAATAGAAAGTGTAGAATCTACATATGCTAAAAATTTATTATAATTTTCTTGCCAGTTATTGTTTTATTCATTTTGTTTCCAATTCATCCAATGTTCACTTACAGATAATTACAACTTAAATGATTAGTTGCCCACAACTTTCTTGAATACAATTTCGTTTGAGCATTTGGCAAATGTTAGTCAGACATAGGAAGAGGTTACTGTAAACTTTCTTGATGTACACAAAAAGTTTAAATCATTTTGAAACATTTGTATTATTTCAACAACAACAACAACATTTCTGCTCAATTGTTACCTTTTAATAATTCTGGGTGTTAAAGAGTTTTTTTTGTAATACTACAAATGTATTATTATTATTATTATTATTATTATTATTATTATTATTATTATTATTATTATTATTGTACACTAAAGTCTAAATCATTTTGAAACATCAAGAAATTTTACAGTATCCTCTTTCCATGTATGCATTGTTACATTGCCAAATTCCCATAAGAAATAATTACAACTGCTGTTATGCTGAAAACACACTGACAGGAAAGAGAAAATAGACGAAGCACAGTATTTTTTTACTTAAACAGTAATAAAAATTGTGCAAGTGCAATGTATCAAAAGTTAAACTAATTTAAAGTTTAATACATTATAAAATAGTGTCTTTTAAAACTTGTTTGCATTTCTTTGTTGGGATCATTTCTGTAATTAAATGTAATTTTAATTGGGCTTTATTCACCTTGGTGAAGAGTGCTCTTGATAATACTGATGGCATGTGCCATGCTTGCCGTACACTAGATTTGATTGATTGATCAAAACACTATTTCTAAATTTTCAGGTGCCAGAGTCCTGATGGTGGTTTTGGGGGAGGCCCTGGACAACATCCTCATTTGGCTCCTACATATGCAGCTGTCAATGCTTTATGTACACTAGGCACAGAAGAAGCATTTAGTATAATTAATAGGTTAGTATTTGATGACATCATATATTAGGTGACTTACAGAATGGTGGTAAAACAAATTCTAAGAATTCTTAATTAAATGAGATAACTTTGCTTGAAAATTGTTTTAAATGCATTGTTTGAAGGTGTAATCTATTAAAAAATGCAAAATCATGATGGGATGTTTATTCATTTCAGGGAAACTCTTCGGAAGTTTCTGTGGACAGTTCGTTGTGCAAATGGATCTTTCCAAATGCATGTTGGAGGAGAGGAAGATATTCGGGGAGTGTACTGTGCTCTTTCTGTTGCTAGACTGACCAATATTTACTGTGACAAGCTGTTTGAGAATTCAGCAAAGTGGATAATAAGGTAATATCTTCATTGAATGTAGCTTGTTTTTTAACAAATTTCATTCATTTAAATAGTCTTGAAATCGATATTTTTTATCATGAAAATGTGGGATACAGTCACTAATTTCAGGAATTATTATGAATTTGGGCAGTTTGATATTCAACATAATAATTTTGAATGTATTTTGTAAAAATAATGTAATTTTGTTTAACTTGTGAAGCAAAAACACCATGTGAAAAATAATCCAGTAACAAGAACATTTGTATCAATATAACAACTTTGAAGTTGATCTTTTTGATATAAATTTACTATATACACTATTTATAGATGAATGGAGAAATGTTTGATATCTGTAGAAGATAATTTTGTATATCGTTTGTTAAAGAAGATATTTTTTGGTATTGGACTGTCATAGTTACGTAAACAAGTAATTACATTTTAATGTAGGTAATAGTGAGAATATGGATACATTTTCTACAAAATCCTTCAGTACTCAACTGAGGTTCAATAGTCTCCATTCATCAGCAGCAATCGCACTGTAAGCTGTACATATGGCTAGTAACGGCGTAATGGGCAGTAACGGAGTAGAGAACTGGTATTTTTTCTCAAAGTAATCGGTGGAGTGTGCACCTTCCTTGTAATTTCAGCGTGTTCCATGTGTTATAGGCACTGGGAGCTCCCTTTCAAAGGAGAAAATAATTTAATATAAAATTTTAATTAATTTTGAAAACGAACTGTTGGTGTTTAACAACACATACTTTCTCACAATTTCTTGTAATAGCTGCTACTGCCACTTTGCTTGGTTCCCCTCTTCTGCTCATTTCTGTGATGCTTCCCCCTTCTGCTCCTCTACTCTTCTCCGCTCTTCTTCTTCCTCCCTTCTGCTGTAGTTTTCTGTACTCCCTCACCTTATGCTCTGCCCTCCTCTGAAGCACAAATACAACTCTTTTCCAGATTTGGCAGAGAAATCGTTAGTTTTGTAAGCTGAATGAACATTTTTAGGAACTCCCCTTTTTTAAACATGTAAACAAGTAATGGATATTATTTTACAAAAGCATTGAAGAAATTTGTCATCAAACATCCTATGATGGCTAGGTGTGGCAAAATTTTGAATGTCTGATGAAATCAACTTTCTCTTATGAATTCAATTCGAAAGGTTCTTTCTCGGTTATTACAGGAGACAAGCTGCACATTCAATATTCTGTTTATCTTATAAAATTACGTTGTTTCTTTTTAAAGCAAAAACTCGTTTCTACGAATACTGTTGGATTTGGTGTTGTGTATATTAATTTAACTCAGGAAAATGTTGATTTTCAGAAAATACATTCTCTTCTTTCAAAACTTTTACTTTTTTTCATGAGGAATTGCCTAAAAAGGTTGCAATTCTATTAAAAACATGCGATTCATTTTGTAAATACCAGTGTTTCAAAAATATTTGTATGGATTTATAGTCATATGGCACAAAGCAACCAGATGAGTCACTGTCAGCAGCGGCGAAATTCACTGAAAAATTCTTAGTTTCAAGATCAAAAGCAAACATTTTGAATCAATGAATCAAAAGCTTATCTTCAAATGTAAGTGAACCAAACATTTTATGTTTTAGCTGAACTATTATATCTTCAATTTCCTTCACAGTGCGTGACAAATAAACAAAACTAAAATCACATTAAAACCCAGTAAACACATTTACAGATAGCCCACAAAAACAAAACACCATTTCCCTCACAAGATCTTTCTACATTGTAATGGCACGTTTCATTGTGCAAGTCCAGAAGCAGCCAGGATTCTCCAAAAAGAGCAATGACTGGACTCCTAATCACCAGACATATGGCTCGAAACAACCAGATAAGTCACTGTCAGCAGCGGCGAAGTCTCAATTCGATGTGCGATTCAATTCGATTGGTGAATCCCTCATGTGCTTCATGTTGTTTCATGGCTGTTTTTCAGCTGCTTATTTATAATTGCTATAAAATATCTACTATAAGTAGAAAATATCTAGTTTTCAACTTATATTCAATTCTTCTGTACAACATTGAAAATGCATAATTTTTATAATTTTGTTTGGTCATCACCATCGTTTGGTTTATCAACACCTCGCCACTGTCTAACAGCTGTAATAATGGTGCTAAATAAGAAGCAGAGTTAGTCAAACAGCTAGAAAGTATACATACTGAAGAACATTTTGATGAACTGAAAAGTGCACCCATCATCAGCTTTTGCACAGAAGCTCAGAAAGGAATCTTTAACAATGAAAGCTCTTCTTCAATTATTAATATTATTGTTTATACTTATCATGACTGTTCCTGCTTCTTCTGCATCATCTGTGTGCTCCATTACTGCACTTCGTTGCCTTAAAGCTTAACCAAGACCCAGAAATGTTTAAATCATATTTTGATTTTACACATTCACAGAAGGAACAGCTCTCTTAAATCTGTGGGATGCGTTAAAAGAGTTTGTTTAAAGGAGCCAAGTCTTCAGAAGAGTGTAGGCTGATGGTTATATTATGTATATCATGTTCTTGTTATATTCTTCTTCTTCTTCTTCTTCTTCACAAATGTTTTAATTCAGTGTTCAACAATATCTGATATAAAACAAATAAAGATATATAATTTATTTAAATTAGTATTAAAAAATTGTATGTACACATGAATTTGTATTCATTTGCAATAATGTTTTTTAATTTGTGTAGTGTTTTAATTAATTTTTGTATTATCAAAATGAGTGGTTTCTTTTAAACCTATCACGAAAAGGTAAATTACGTAAACTAATGAAATGTATTTTAATTTAATTCATTTTTCCCAACTGCCTGACTTCTTTGGTGTAGATATGAAGTAAATTGTAGTAAAACAAACTTTATCCTTCATGACTTTCTTGTCACTTACACTGCTTTTCTATTAGTTTGTTAACTGTGTCCCATCTTGTATGGTGCAAGCAACTGCCAGACTATTGTGTAGAGTGGATGCGAAGAGAAAATTAGATGGGGAGTGTATAAAAGAGTATGACTTAGACATTGCTGATGTCAAAGTGGCTAATAGATTTATAGAATAATATTCAAATAGTAGTGGTAATAGGTGGAGTTAGTTAATCTTCTGTCAGAGTGCTTAAAGAATAATAGAGGCCGTGTTACATACAATTTTTTTGTTATGTCTAGTTATTCAAAAATAAATATTTAACACTTTCATGAGTTAAGAATTATCATCACACTCAATGTTCTGTAGCCAGGTTGTTGGTACAGGGTCTTCGAGCAGTTTGTAAATAACAAACACAGTGTGCCGAACGACCAAGAGGATGAAGGGCGACAAGTGGGACAAAGCGGGGAAAGGTGGACAGGGACAGGTGAAGAGGGCATAGTGACAAAATGGGACAATGGAGACAAAATTGGAAAAAGGAAAGGATGGAAAAAGGGGGTCAAATTAGACAATGGGGATAAGACCTGGGGACAATGCAAAAAAGATGATACAAAGGGACAAGGTGGCCATTGGGGCAAGAGATCAAAATGAGGTAAGGTGGCAAATGGAAAAGGGGACAAAAGGGACACATTTATCCAAAGATTTATGAACACTAGTAAAATCCAAACCATAGTCTGCTAAAATATTTTTAATGAGCTCTCAAGCATTTTAGCGGCTGGTACTATGGACATGCTCTTAAAGCATTGTTTTGATGGTAGGTTGCTAAGGAGCTGATCGCATGTTTACTGACATAAATAACAAAATATTTGTTTAAGGGCATTTCCTTACTAATTATTTTTAGATATAACTGAAGAATATTTTTTCATTAAATTTATTTCAACAATGCAGCTGCACATTTTTATCCAATTGTAAGGTATTAATGTCTGTTATAAAATCGGTATGTCCACTTCTGGAAAAACGTCTGAGAGAAAAGTTTTGTTTGTTCATATTTTGAAAATAGGGAGAAGAGATGTAAATTATCACATCTGAATGAGTTTTTCATCTGATTGCAGTTGCCAGACATATGAGGGAGGGTTTGCTGGCTGCCCTGGCTTGGAAGCGCACGGAGGCTATGCCTTCTGCGGCCTGGCTGCACTATGCCTTCTAGGCAAGGAGCATCTCTGTGACATAAGAGGCCTCTTGGTATGTTGTGAGATGTAGCTTCAAAATTCTTTCAAATCCCCCACAAGCCTTTGAAGGAAGTTTTTTTACATGTAATTTTTAATGCGTTAGTTGTGAATATTGCCAGAAAAAGTAATTTCTCAAATAAATCAATTCTCTCAGATTAGATTTTACTTTAAAGAACCCATTGGCCCCTTGTAGAAAATGTTTTAATAGATAATGATAAAAAAGTTAATAATCTAGCAACAGTGGCTAATCTCTTTACTGAGTATTTTTTTGAAACTTGCAGTTGATCTCATGAAGGGTCTAAAGCCACTTAAGCCACAAATTCAATATCAGACATTTTTCAACTACTACAACATTGTTTTTTTTTCTGAAACTTCTTTCTATGAAATTCTCTAAATAATTTGTAAACTAAAAAATAAATATTAACTGGTAGAAATGAATTTTCAGATGGTTTGTCACAAACTTCTGCGCCTCCATTATGCATCTATTTATCCTTTCTAATTCACTGGAATATTTATTTTCAAAATGGCTAACATTAGACCGTACTTCAATAAAGACATCAAAAATTAAATTCAAAATTATCGGCATATAAAAATATCTTTGTAAAGCATTTGACAATATTGATAATAAGATTCCTTTTAAAATTATCTTCATATGTGATGTTGCTTCTAGATTGATTAGTATGTTTGTACCTTTAATAATGATCTGAGAGAGTAGAAATACCATACTTGAATGCACTAGTAACTATTCTGTATATCACATGTTTATGTAGCAGTAATTTTTACTGAGAGGAACTTGCAAAATCAGAAATCTTCTTTCACCGTAAGGATTAAATCTGCATGATGGTGCGATCACTATGCTATGTTGCCATTTGCTCACATCACAAACTAGGTTGCATTGTGTCTGGTAATCCTGTTGATGTATTTGTACATGCTCAGTACATTTTTTTGGACAATCCAAACGGGCCCCCAACAACAAAACACCCCCAATTAGTTAGGAATTCTGGGGTTCTAATGTAAATAAGTAAGCAAATAATTAATAGATAGTTGATGGAAATAAAGAATGTCTACTTATTTTATTATTATATTCAAATATCATAATGTGTTTTAATTGACCTCCGGTTAGTTTTTACAAAATGTAAAGTGATTTTAGTTTTAACTAAATGATTGGGATGACTAACATAATTGCTCCTTCAATTTGCACCAATTGGGATCTTTCAACACATAATCATTTTAATATTTAATAATGGTTTCAGTGATGTATCCTTTAGGCATTGCCTTCTAGCTCACTTTTCTGTTATGTTAGGTCAGTTTTCTGTTGTTGGTTGCTCTCTCTATTTTTTTTATTATGTTAGCAAAGTACAGAATCTTTGTACTGCAATCTCAAAAAAAATAATTTAATCCTGTACAGCGGTGGGTGGCCCATCGACAGATGCGCTTTGAAGGGGGCTTCCAAGGACGTACCAATAAGCTTGTGGATGGCTGTTACTCATTCTGGCAGGGAGGTGCCTTCCCATTGCTGCACAAGGCACTTGCAGACGAAGGTGAGAAAGTTCCTCATGATCCATAATTTGTCTTCAATTTTTTAGGCACTAAAACCTTTTATTTGCAATAAGTGCTTAAAGGTGAAAATGACCATAATAATTTTGTGAATAGAGAGTATAAAAATGTTTAAAGAGTAATAAAATGTTTAAATAAATTTTAAGTTAAAAATGTTTTTATGGGCACTATTATTTAAATAGCACTTGTGGTCACTAAAACATTGAAATCAAAAGCCTAGTGTAGGTGCTATCATCATTCACACCAGAAATATGCTATACAGTTTTCTGACAATTACAAAACATTAAAGTTCAATGGCATTTAGGTTTGGTCACCTTATTAGAGCATACTTGATAAAAAATGACTGGATTAAAAAATAATCAAATTAGCTAATCCAACTAGAGCAATTTTATTGCTTTTAATTTTGGGCTCTCTAGAATTTAATTTACCCACTTGCAATGGAACTTGTTTACTGACTGAAAAGATGTTAAATAGTTCAATGGTTAATCAAATTTTGTGGCACCTCAGAGTTAGAACAAAATAGCCTTAGTATGCATGCCCAAAATCTTATCTGTCCATTTACTATGTCTGTTTCCTGTCTATACATTTGTAATAATTTGCGTCTTCCCTGCCCGCAGCATTATAGCGACTTTCTGGCACCTAATAACAAATAAACTCATTGTCTTTTAAACAATTCTATAACATCTTATATTTGTATCCTGCTTATTCCTACACTGATTCCTATATACTGCTAACTCCTGTAAGGGAGCTGCTTTCGCAATAACTATGGAATTCCACCTGCCACTTCACATTCTGGCAGGGTTTTCCTTTTTGTGGTCTTCGAGATGTCCTTCCTTCCCTGCAAGGTGGCAGGTTTACTCTCCTAGGTGTTGTGTTTACTCTTCTAGAGAGATTGGCTTCACCAGTGCTCCTGTTTTGAGGCATTGGAGACTTGCCCTCACCCTGCTCTCTTTAACTACACTCCAATGTTTGTGTAGTGGCACTGCCAATATCTTGAGCTGGACAGAGGGGGACACTGTCATTCTATCTGAAGCTTCATTACAAATTAAATTTTTAGAATTGGAGCTCCAAAGTAGATGACATCTCTGATCTTGAAGTGTCACTCTGTATCAGTATACTTACTGAACTCTCACACTAGGGGCCATCTCGTGGAGGAAAGAGCAGGACTTACTTACTGCCCAAAGCAGGCGAAAGGAGGATATTTCTGATATTTAATGGTGTTTGCCTGTGTGCATCCATAAACTCTGCTGTGTCTTCAAACTGTTCTATGAGAGAATTACAAAGTAAGTGTGGGGTGACAAAAGATATGATGGTGTGCTAAAAAAAAAAAAAGCAAGAATTGCATCTTTCAGTTTTGTTAATTGGTAACAACAGAATCAGCACCAGGAGAGTTGTAACTTGATATTTCATTACTATCTAGAAAACAAATACTTTTAGCTTAATATTACTAATGAATTTTGGATTCGAATTTTTCTTTCACCCGTTTTTTATTAAAATTAAAGCACAGAATATAAATAAAAATTTTTATTCAACAAGAAAAAGAATACTTTTTGAATTTTAAAAGCCAAAAAGAATTGTTTAATTGAAATAAGTGTTGTTGTTTTTTATTACGAATATTTTTTATTAATTGATTTTCAGATAGCACTTGTGTAAGTACCAATTGGTTATTTCATCAAGAAGCTTTACAAGAATACATTTTAATATGTTGTCAGAATTCTCTTGGAGGACTACTTGATAAACCTGGCAAGTGAGTATTGCTATCAACCATGAAGCACTAATAAGATATTTTAAATTACTGCTAATTGTCTTTTTTTATATTATGCATATTTATTTTTAAAAAATAATGTCCTTTTCAGACCTCGTGATATATATCACACATGTTACACACTCAGTGGTCTCTCAGTTGCACAGCACTGCTTTGCAGGACAGGAGAAGATTGTTGGTGGACTTCAGAATGAATTGGTAAATAATTTAATTTAAGAAACAAGGCATTTGGCAATTGATATAACTAATCAAATTTTAGCTCAATTTTACATGCAATAATTTTTTCTTTTTTCCCTGATATGGGGTTCACACATCATCATTCCATCAATGATGAATCAATTTATACATATAATTGTATCGGTTTATACACATATGTAAATTGTTTATTCAGTTCACAAACATCCAAAGGATGTTAATACATCTTGTAAAATATAGGATTGTCCAGATCAGACAGACATGGATGGGATCCAGAGAATTTTATATGTGAACAAATATTTTCAAAATAATAAATAGGTGATAAACAAATAAATTTCGTACTTACTGTACTAATATAACAGGATAGGAAAAATAAATAACCAATGTTATTTCATCAATGATAATTCTTTGATATTTTCTTTCTAGGCTCGAGTGCATCCTTTATATAATATTAGTCAAGAAGCTTACATAAATGCCTCAAAGTTCTTCTACAACCTACCTCCACTCTAAGCACTGGAACACTTTGGAGCCCACTTCAACCGAGTGTTCAGATTGGTTATTTATTAATCATCTGAAGAAGAGGTTGCTGTATTGGTGCAGAAGTTGTTTGTGAAGAATTTGCAGTATTTGTAAAGGAGGAAGGCATCTGGCATTGTAATGTTACTAAAGGAAGATGACTGTGAGAAAATGAGCTTTTCAAACATTGCCATTTTTTTAGAGAAAATAATCATTGGTGCCTAATTGCTTCACACCAAAATTTTCTTTTGAGTAGTTCGTTCTGATCATGTCAGACCAATATTTGACTCCCTCTACGGAATCAACTAGCACAATCTTCCCTGCCATGTGCAAAGTGAAAGAACACCTTTTGGAAGTAATTTGTGGATTTTATTGTGTTTTTGTTATTAATGTACATAAAACATGCCTAAGTAGCCTATTACTTGTTGAATGAATTGCTGAAGGCCTAAAGTAGTTAAATCAGCAAATATTCGTTGTTGTTTTTTTTGTGTTTTTTTTAAGATGCTGTGTTTCAGTTTGTGGTTGCATTTGACACCATGATCATCGTGTATATAATTGTAACATTGTGTAGAAATCAAGTCATGGTAATAGATCTTATTGCTAATTGCAAATATCAGTTTTATATTTTGAAATAAAGCAATTTTCAAGTAGTTAATAGTGATTTTTTCTGAATTTATTTTCACACAAAATTCACAAGATCCAAAGAAATTAACATATTTTTTTGACATGCAAAATATATTTTTTTTTAAAGATAATTTTGGGGTCTTAATGCTTTCAATTATTTATGATTGTTGCAAAATATGTAGTGTTCACTTACAAAATCGGGAAACAAAATGAATTGAGACTTCCCATTACTTATGCCTTCTGTTGTGGTGAAAGGTAAAATTAACCCTCTGCATACCAAGCAGGGTACAGGTGAGCGTAAAGCTCTCAATTTTTCATTTTGTATATGTTTTGCTTATTAAGCGATATTGAAATTTACATACATACAACAATGACATACAATTTACAAAATACTTCAATTGATAATGACATATTACAGAATGTTTAAGGTGTTTTGCGTGTACTAACCAAATAATATCCACTCGGTGTTCTACCCCTTGAACATGTTTAGTTGACTAATGCCTACCAATATTATATTTCAGCAATTTTGCAATTTTCAAATGGTCATTATTGCAATCATGATTTTTAAATAAATTAATAAACTGGTGGCGGTAGTACAGCACATGCATTCTCGCATTATTTCTAACTGCTCAGCTATATTACTCTTCTACATAAACATGCAAAAGTGTTTTCAACCAGCAAAAGTTATTTTGCGCATCAAGAATCGAACTCAAGTCCTCAGAGTTAATTTGCTGTCAGCCAACCACCACCATATATATATATATA